GCAGGCTGGTCTGAGGCCTCTGCACTCTCTCTGGGCAGCCTCTCAACCAGAAACATGAACAAAGAGCGTATCTCTGGTTCATTGCTGTAGAGAAATGTCTGGTAGCCAATTTCTCCTTTAAATCCAACATCCTAAGCATAAAAGGCAAAGACATAAGCACAAAGTCAAAAAAATTGATTTGATGTGGTAATAGTTATTAATGTAGGCATATTTACTTCTTATCAGTGCAATCTCATGTATAAGAAAAATATATAAAAATCTGCCTTTTAATCTGGGTTAATCTAGTTTGAGTTATGTACAACTAAATGGCATTTTACTGGTGATGACTAATACAAATTTAATTTTTATTAATTTTTACATTAGAAATTTTGTATTGTGTGTATTGTATTGTGTCAGTTAAACCAAAAGATTCATGATCATGGCTAAATCAACAGAACCTGGCTTACATATAGAACCCATAAATATATTAGAAATTATACATCTGTAGTTTTTCTTCTTTATATAACATTTGTGAGCCTTTTTTAATGGAATATTTTCCCCTTGCCCCATTATTTCCAACCCAAGTAGAGTTGATGCAATTGATGAATATTTATTTAGAGCAGGGCTGCCATGGTATTTTAGGTTTTTAAATGATTTATTTATATAAATGGCAAATGTGAAATTGTCAGATGTCTCTGTGACGCTGCAAATGAAATCCCCCTACGGAGACTCAAAGATAACTAACTAACTAGAGGGACACCTGCCTGTATCTGAAGTCCAAATGACGGTGTTATAGTGTTGACATTCATAGTAGATTAAAATTATCTTGTAGGTAAACAATGGACTTTTAAAAAAAAATTAACAAGGGTGGTTTTGCGATTAATAATTCATAATTGAATCAATCTGCTGAGCTTTTATTCAGATGACATTTGTGACCTTTTTTTCTGGAACATTTTACCCATGCCCTATTATTTCCAACCAAAGCAGTCTCATAATTGCCTAGCAGAGTTGATGCAGTTGATGGCCCGTATACTTGATATTTATTTAGAGTAGGTCTTCTAAGGTACTTAAGGATTTGAAATGATTTATTTAAACAAATGCCAAATGTGAAGTTGTCAGATGTCTATGTGAGTGTAAGCTGCAAATGAACCAACCCCCCCCCCCCCCCCCCCCCCCCCCCAAAAAAAAAGTTAACCAACTAACTAGAGGGAAGCCTGTCTAGTAATACTACTTATGAGACAAAATGACAAATATTATCCATTACTGATATAATTGAAACAATGTTATAATAATAAACATTCATTTTCTTGTGTCACATATAAATGTCATCTGAATGATTCATTCATTCATGAATTATCATTTGCAAAAAAAATCTACTAATATTTCATCAAATGTTTAAAAAATTCTTTATTTACCTAAAAGATGATATTAATCTACTATGAATGTCGATAGACTCTATACAATAACACCATCGTTCAGACTTACAAAGAGCAGAGCTGATTCACCACCAGTAATGCATTTTCAATGATTATCAGCTGACAGTCAGATGTGAGGGGTCAAGATGACTCAGGCACACAGAATGACATCTAGGCTTCGTGTGTCTCTCACCTGACAGGCCTGTGCCAGGCTCATGCCCAGTCTGAAGCGGGCAGACATGCCAGGGGGCAGCGAGTGGGACAAGCCATTGCCCACTGCTGGGTCGATCACCCGAAGGCATCTGACCACCGCCTCCACGATCAGCTCACTGGTGAACTGCTTCACACTCTGAACATCCTCGTCAATGTCTCTGGAAGAGCACAAACACAAATATGTCAACATAAAATAACTTTATTCCGTCCAAAGATACAAATCAGTCCACTGAGGCACAGAGGAAATGACTTGTCACAACTGAAGGGACCTGTTAGATCTGAGATACTTACGTGCCCGCTTGTCTTAGAGAGTGAATTAAAATCCTATCGACTTCTTCCATCACGGAACGAGATCAGATAAAGCTGCTCGACTGTCTTCCGTAGCAATATTAAAGCCCCACCGCGGACAAGGCAAATGAATATCATAAGGCTTCAGCAAACCCCCAGCATCGCTTTCACTACAGCCTGTGCAGGTCTGCAAACCAGGACGACCGTTCGGCTGCCATGGCTACATTTCAAAACGCAGTGTCAAACGAGCCGTTTAGTACTTTTCACCGCATTCTTTAGCAAAAACGGAGTGTCAAAATAATAGCTTTTTTCAGTCTGTCTCTTCAATATCAGCTTTTTCTGGAGAGGAAGTCATTACCTAGGAGTGTCCGACGCAGTGTATCATGGGACGTGGAGTTTTAGAGCTTTGAGACAGCAGTACTGGACTACTCATTTAAAACTCGAGTTCCCGACAGGCAGAGCGCGTTTTGATCTCGTGACGAGAGCGACGCGTAAGCACGTGCGCTGTCCAGGACCAAAGTGAAATGTTTGAGATGTTTTTGTAGGGCTTGAGAGAAAATCAGATGATTCAGATCATAACAGTCGTATTAGTGACACATGCTTGATCAGAAAGCAGAAGCTAATTATAAACTAATATTATTAGTGTGGAATTTCAGTACAAGACTAAGCTGTGTTTAGACGATTCGAGACATGGATATGAGTATAATGATTTATAGTAGTTAATCTTTAAGGAGCCAAGTAAAACGATAACTATTAAGACTTTTTTTTAATCCACAGCGTCCTTTAATATGCTGTTCTTACAGCACTATTAATTTAGCTACAAATCTGCAGTGTTTAAATAATTTATTGTTGACTGACTTGTCTTCATTCCTTAGAATAGTCCATATTTTTCTATTTTTTTTTTACTTGTTTTATGTATTTAAATGTATTAAATCATTACAAAAATGTATGTTTGTTACTTGATTCACTTTGATCAATACAGGTTTATAAAAAATGCTAAAGTCTAACATTGTTATTTATTTACAACATCTTCTAAAGACAGATGTTGCTTCTTTAACCCAGGACTGAAATGTAAGTATTTTCAGTCACTTCTTGCCCTAAAGCACAGTTCAAGCACACAACATATGGTGATTTATCATGTGACATAGCACCAATACATTTTGGATCACCAAGGTCAGTTTTACTCAATGCGTTCACACATCATCATATGTGCAGAGTTACTGTTTCAGTGTGTTAAGTCATACGCTTTGGTTATTTAAATAGAGATTGAAATTATGATATTGTAACAGTGTTTTCATTTCCTACACCCCAGACATTTGCCTTTTGTGTTCCCAGGAGTTGCACATGCGTGTATAAATAATGACTGAATTATCACTTTTGAATGAACTTAACTTTTAAGACAACTTTTTCTTTGTTTTGCAGTTAAACATTAACAATAAGTTTAGTAAAACAGACATTAACTTCTTACGGACACCTAATACATACAACAACACATAAACAAGAGCAATTCATATAAATTATTTGCACTGTTAGCATAGCTCATTTTAAAATACATTAAAGGGATATTTAGATAAATGCTGGTAGTTGGCACCCATTGACTTCAATAGTAATTTGTTTTCCTACTTTAGAAATTGGTGGGAACCAGCAACCAATGTTCTTCAAATTATCTCATTTTGTGTGCAACAGAAGAAAGAAATTCTTCGGTTTAAAATCACATGAGGGAAATTAAATAATGAGGTAATTTCTATTTTTGGATGAACTACCCGTTTAGACTGCGGTGCTATATTTTTAAAAACTTTGCATTTGTGAATAAATTATTTAGTACATTTATTTTTATTCAGAATATCAATTTATAACAAAATCTGGATCCACATTCTCTAAATCTCTGTGCTCTATCACAATCACATCTCAAAGATTAAAAAACCTTTTTTTTGTCATATAATTTGGTTGAAGTTAATAAAAAAACTAAGCAAGTGTTTAATTTTTAGAATTTTTTTTAACACAAGTCTTGATATTCTAGTAATATAAACCATAAAAGCTTCTGAACTCATTGACCATTTCTTATGCTGTTGAAAGTAATCTCCTCGTATATGAACAGGATCAATTTTCCTGCTCAAGAATTCCTTATAATCTTCTTAGTACATTCCTTAGCCACAAAACCCATTGTTCATATAATAATATAACATAACTTGGGAAAGAAGATGTATCTTAAAACCCTATTTAAATATTCCCTGGTAATAGAAAAAAAAGTACATGTACGTTTATACAGTGCTCAGCATAATTACACCCCTCACAAATATATCTTTTAAATTCATATTTTTAATAGGAAGGTCTACAATATTCCATGTGTGCATATACATCAGATTAGTCAATACTGAAGCCAAATCTGGAGCAAAATAACTTACGATAACGGTCCAAAAACTAGTTCACCCAAATTTAGGTTACAGAAAAATATTAAATACAAATTTAAAAAAGAGGAAGAATCAAGAAAAGAAAAAAGGAAAAATTTATTTGAAATTTTGTAGTTTGTAATTTATTTTTACAACATTTTGCTTAAATTAATTGTATTATTGTTCAATTTCTAAAAATGTTTGGTGACTGAAATATTATTTTAATAAATATATCTGTTTAATAAAACTGTTTTGTTTAAATGCATCAAAATACATTGCCGATATTCTCTGAGAAATTGATAAAAATATTTATTTTTAAAATGGGATTTACTCAATCATGCTAAGCACTGTACTACAACTTGTGACCATAATTCCATGAAGCCCTCCAAGAAAACGGGGGAAGGGAGAAACCTCAAATCTCCAAACCCACCTTTACCCATTTAATTCAGAGTTTGAACTCTTCCAGCTGAAAATATGTCTTCATTTTGGACTGCATGCCATTCCATCAGTTTGCTGAATGAGAGACGAACCCATGTCAAAGAGCTAATAAATGGAAAGCTGTTGTCTGCATTAAGAGAGTTCAACAGTGGCTTGTGTTGTACGTGACATCACATGTAATTCGAGACTGCATTGAGAAGCTGCCTCCCTCCCTTTTTTTTTCTCCATGTGCTTCCCACCCTTGCCTCCTGCCTTACTCTCTTCAGAAGAACCACACCGTCCTTTCTCTCTTTCTCTCTTGGGCTCTACTTAAACCTTTTAACAACTGGGATAAAAACGCAACACCTCAACCAAGAAAATCTCTCAGAGAATGCTTCAGCAGCACTACATTTGAGAAAACAACAACAACAACAACAACAGCCATTTAAAAAGGTGAGAAGGGTTTTTCTTTTCTGTAGATCTCTTGTCTTGCTTGAGCACATGGATATAAAAATCAAACTGCGGTTGACAGTAAAGGCTTAATGGCTTAGAAGAGTTTGGTTAACATAATTACAGTTTCATTGTGTATTAACAAGCTTGTTTTACTGTTAAACAAATTTCTCTTTGATTCCAATTAATTACACTTTTAAGTGGCTTTTTTGTATCTAGAAGATTTGTTTAGATTAGTGAGATTTTCGTTTGATTGTGCCTTTTTTGTCGTTCACTCCACAGTGTGGTAAAGAAAAGGCTATATGTGACAGAATAATAGAGAAAGTGTGTGTGAGCTGCAGAGGAAAATCTTTTTATGCACACTGTAAATGACGTTTTGCTGGTATCATATGTCCAATTGCAGGACTAGAGCCAGATATAAAAGGCCACCAGTTGATTTAGTCTTGGAGATACATGGTTGCAAATTTAAGACAGCATATGTTAAGCCTCTCACTATGTCTTATGAGTTTTTTTTTGTTGAATGTTGCCGGACCCACCCAAAAAAATATCTGCACAATTTGGACAAGCAACTATTTCTTTGTATTGGGTTTGTTTTGAAAAGATTTGATGTGTGGAATGTTTCTTTAAAGCTAAACCCCTATGACAATGTAAGAAAAATAACTTGATTAACAGGTAACTTGTCAACATGCAGTGTTTTCTCATTCTCTCCACTCTTTGGTGAGTTCCTTGTAGGAATTGCGATTACACCTTGATCATTCTTCTGATACACTGAAGTCTTTTCAAAACCAAGTAGTGTATAAAGAGCTAAAAATATTCAAACCATCCAAAAATTGTTACGCAATGTGTGAGGGTACACAGTGCACCACGTTGAATCGTGAGAGGTTGGCCACGAGGATTTATTCAGTAAAGACTTTTAAAGAGCAACTATGTTGTGTATTCAGGGAAAAGGGGCATCAATTACTCAGTTACTCTTCTACAAAGTTAAATCAGAGAACAAAAAAATTCCTATTTATTTACTATTAGCATCATTTATCAAAATATACTGTATGAAACTCAATATGTCAAATGAGTAGATTGTCCTATTACAAAGTATTCATGAAACAGTAGGTAAACAATACACGGATGTTCACCTGCTGGGAGTCATTTAAACACCCAGCGGACACTTTGCTATCCCACTGAGCCCATCACAACTGTAACTGCAAAGCTTTTCAAGTGCAATTCAATTCACATGCAATTCAAGTGTTCTGCGGGTCTTAAAAAGTTAAACTTAAAGCTTAAATCTTAAAGTTGTTAAATCTTAAGTCAGAACAGAAGGTCTTACATGCATAAATCTGTGTAAATAAATACTGCATGCATTGCAAAAACTATATCTTCATTAGTAATTTTGTTTTCCAATAAAAAATGTGATCTATTATGAATCTATGTACTATTACTTAAGACGCAATTGTTTTCTGAAAATTGAAATGAGTTTATGTTTGAAAGATAAACAAAAATTTGTCAGTGAGGTTTAAATTACTTTTCCATTTGAAGTAAGTTTATTTTACTGATCCCATTGACTGATATGTGTTCTTGTTTTAATGGGAAGCTTGATTAATTTGGATTTAAAAATCAGAAAACAAGGTTTCTTATCTACTGTCATTTTGATTCCAAGTGAAAGTATCTTGATGTAAAAAATATTATATTTGCACTGGAAAACCAGATAAAAATACAGAGGAAGAAGTCTCGCAGTGTGATTCGATATTTCCATCATTTTGTGTTTGATACCAGTAATATAAGCATACTGCTTATAAATTAAAGCACATATTCATAATTCAAATTCCACTTTCTCTACGAATTGATGCTGAAATCACTTTTCTTACATGCTGCTGGATGCCAAACAGACAGTAAAGAGTTTACACAGTTCAGCCTTCAAATTACTTATTTATAGTGTTGCATTTAAAAAAATAGTATTTTAACATGATAACTATAACTCAGTTTGTTTTAATGCTAAAATGAAATGGCCAGTATTTCTTCCTCTGTTTGTTTAGAAAGTAAATGTAACCTAAAAAGAACATGAGTCCCTTCACCCAGTGTTTATTTTGTGGATTTTGTACGCCTGAATTCACACAATGTCTTCTTGCTTACCAGTTTTAGTTGTCGACTTCAGGTGAAGAACTTCCACTTAGTTATTTCGTAATCTTCGCACATGACGTTCTGTGGGTAAATTGTGAAAGAAACAGAGTATAAACAATCCTATAATCTATTTCCTCATACCGCCATTATCTAAGAGGAAAATTGGAGGAAATCATTATCAGGTACAAAACGAAAATGGAATGTGTTTAATTATTTGAAGGGGTGTTCAAGCCACAATGTAGACACTGTAGTTGTGACCCACACAATTGATAAACCTCAAATGGCTTCCGTAGCTTTTTTTAAACGGATGTCCTGGACATACTGAACGTACATGACTTCAGCTGGGGGAAATGAGCCTGTGCAGAGGTCAGCGAGTGCATTGTGTGGTCTACAACAATGACCAGACTTGGCCTTTTACCACTGTTGGAGTCCTAGGGGTTTAGGAGTGAATTTGATCTAATTTGGAAAATGCAATCTGGTAGTAAAGCTTGCTCCACATTCTCTGGAACCAGAGTTTTGGCACACATATATATGTGGCCTCTGAGTTGAAGGGATCATATTATCTCCTGGGAAATACTCTGGCAATTTAAGCATGGGCAAGTACACTACTACCGATGTGTCTGCCATAAAAAGAGCATTCAAGCCCTGTAATACACCGCTAGCCAAGGCCTTAAAATGGATCGCAATAGTGTGAGATGTTGACATATAGGGAGAGAGTCTACAGAGAACGACAGGAAATGGATGGAGGCAAAAAAAGGAATGTGACTGAATTGGAGTGGGTGGAGAGATGGTTGTTTAGCTCTGGCTGTCAATGAGTTCATATAATATAGAGGGTGGGATTTGCTAACCTGCCAAAACTGGTCCACAAACTCTTTTGTTGTTGCAAATTTGGCTGTTAGTGTTACAATTGGGATTTAAAGTTGTTTGGTTACTGATTTGGTTCGGTGTTTGTAAGGGTGTGTTTAAACATGGCCGGTTTGGTTAGATTAAAATAAACTTGTGGGCGATTGCTTTGTTTGTGTGGATTATTTGAATAAGTGTGAATGCTGCCAAGTGTCTCTTGGTGTGCAGTAAACAATGAAAATATTAGCTTATTAAAATAGAGTTTGGGTCCACTTACAAATTAACTGAGTGAGTTCTGTTCAAATATGAATGCAACAATGGCCATATCTAACTGGACTTAAAACAAAACATGAATTTAAAGACTGAATGCTCAAGCTTGGTTGGGATTTTGCTTATCATAATTCAATAAATCAGAAATTTATTTTTGTGTACACTAAAAAAATCTGTTATTTTAAGTATTTTTTGGCAGCTGGGGTGCCAGAAAAAAAACTTAAAATAATGGCCATTAAATTACAGACATTTACCGTAAATGAACTGATTTTAAATAACAGAAATTTCCTTAAATTAAAATTTACGATAAATTTCTATAATTTACCGTCTGTTATTTTATGGTAAATGTCTGTAATTTAACTTTCGTCATTTTTACTTTTATTGTCTTTTTACTGTGTATGAAGGGGAATTCTGGTGTTGTTTTACATATTTAATTTTTTTTACATATATTTGTTTACATATTAATTAATAAGTTATCCACAAGGTCTCAGCAGTTTCATGTAAGCAAGTTCATTTAGCATTATATAACATAAAATTAAACAAAATAGAAAGTACTAAAATTACAAACTGCTATTAAAAATTTTGCTGTCAATTTGTTTTTCTCTTTTTGGGAAACAAAACCAACTGAGTACTTTAAAACCCAATAAGTTAAGGCAACTCAAACTGTTGCAACGAACCATTTGAGTTAAAAAAAACTAATCTATATGAGTACTGTGAACTCCATTTAACTTAAAGTAAAAAGGTATTTGATAAACTCATTACCTTCAACACTGAGTTCAAAACTCTTTTGAAATGAGTAGAATTAACTTTCAGTAAATTTTAAGTTAACTACACTCATTTCATTTGATATAGTTGACTGCTGGGTTTTACAGTAAAGGTAAAATAAGTTACTGTAAAAACATACATTTAACACTTTTAATCATTGGTGTAGTTTGGTATAGTTTTCAACTTTTCTAAAAATGTTGTGCTACTTAATATTTTTGAGGAAAACATGACACTTTTCTTGTCTGAAAGGTTAAGAACCCAAGGTTTAGTAAATCAAGTGCTGAAGTTCTGAGAATCAGTGGCAGCGGGAGGTAAAGGGTTAATATAGTTATTAGATGTCACAGCACACCTCACCCTCCTTTCTTCACCACCCTCCCCCACTGCTTTCTCTATCTTTCTCCTTCTCCAGCCCCTCAATGACTACCATACTAATGTTTTACGCCAATCCTTTAAAGTTCACATAAATAACTCATCATTTGTCTGACAGTTAATTTGAAGGATTATATGACCAAAATATACCTGGAAAAACATACTTTAGTAACATTTACATTTACAATTCGGATCTAGAGACCACAGCCAGTCACATTACAAGCCAGTTCTCTTGTGCTGCATTTACGAAATCTGCCTCAGGTTACAGTCAATCTGGTTACTCTAGTTAGCACTTCACTCTTGATCAGGCAGTTTGTTAAGGAGTGGTGCTGGTTTGAGGTGGTCTTGACAGGAAGAGGTCTGAATCTCTTTCTTCACTTGATAGTAGGCAAATTGCCTTCAGGGTGAAATTCTTGGCTGATACACGAGTGTGACATTTTGCAGCTGAGAAATGTAATTTATAGGGGATTTTCCATGAAAAGGTTTTTGGTGTTCATTTAGTAAGATATTGCAATGTAGAAATATGCAAGTTAGAATAAGGGTGCAATGTTTAAAAAGTAGTCATTTATCGACTGTTGAAGAGAGTTTGAATGCTGCTTTTCTGGAATGTAGTTTCGGCTAGTTTACATACAGCATGACTCATG